TATGTTTGGTTATTGTTGTACACAAACAGACAGACTGTAAGCAAACGTCTGCCAAATGAATGGAAAAGTTTGGAGGGAGTGGTCAGCAGTGAGCAGTGCGTGACGTGCGGTGGGGCCGCACATGGCGTACGTGCGACACATACAGCGAGTGAGTGGTGGGCGGGGAGTGCGATGCGAGTGTGTTTGCGGCGTAATTGTTGGTTGTAGTGGTGGTGGGGCGACCAGAACTGGTTGGAACCGGTATTGAATGGAGTTATGGCGGCATTGAATGCAATGAATGTGTTATGCATTAAATGGTTGAGACATCGATAGCGCGAAATATTAATCATTTGATTCATTGACTACACGTTTGCAGCGATTGGCCACTCAGTCCACTGTTGGCTACCATTGAGTGACAGACCGCAACACATTCACCACAACCACAGCCATTGCAGTGACAGTCAGTGCGGGTGTCGTACGGCGAGCACACACACCACCACTACTACACCACTACTACATCACCACTACTACGACAATACCAAACACTACTCATTCATAGCAGTCATACGCGTGAATGTGTCGCACATCACATCCAATACATCCACTCTTATCGACTGATTGGTGACACTCTTGTAAACTAATGTTAGAACAGGTATACAGTGATTGTCTTGATTTGATTGTCCCCTACAATGGATTAATTGCATACATGTTGTGACAGTTGAATGTAAAGCCAATGAATTCAAGCATTGATAGCATGAAGAATGCAATCAACAGTCCATCAGTCAATGCCTTCTGCGGACAACCACAACGTAAGTGTTGTTGGGGTGGAAGTGATGGGCAAACCATTGATTGTCTCATTGTTATAGTGAATGGCAATCCGATGAACTCATTGGCAGAACAGGCGAACAAACTGTTGGACTTCAGTCAGAAGCTGGACATAAATCTGTTGGACAGTGTCGTGAACTGCATGTATGGCGGCGAAGGCGCTCAGCAACGGGTGGCGCAGGAGATACTGACCACTCTTAAGGAACATCCGGACGCGTGGACTCGTGTGGACACGATTCTCGAGTTCTCGGGCAATCAGGAGACCAAATACTATGCCCTCCAAATCCTCGAGAATCTCATCAAAACCCGATGGAAAGTATTGCCCGAAAACCAGTGCGAAGGCATCAAGAAGTTCATCGTCGGTCTCATCATTAAGACCTCATCCGATCCCTCGACTCTTGAGAGAGAAAAAGTCTATTTAAACAAGTTAAATATGATTTTAGTTCAGGTATTCATCACTTGTTCACTGCATCAGTGATTACTCCTTCAGTGCTCTCATTGCTGTCTCTCATTGTCTTACAGATACTGAAGAGGGAATGGCCTAAAAAGTGGCCCAATTTTATCGATGACATCTGCGGTGCGTCCAAAACCAATGAAAGTCTTTGTCAGAATAATATGATTATTTTGAAACTATTGAGGTATGCCTTCCCTCACTCGCCTCCACCTAATGCTCGCAACTAATGAATTGATGATTTCTTATGTGACGGACAGTGAGGAAGTGTTTGACTTCTCGTCGGGTCAGATGACTCAGGCGAAGGCCAAACACCTGAAGGACACGATGTGTCAGCAGTTCCGAGAGGTGTTCACATTGTGTCAGTTCGTGATGGAGAACTCCAACAACACGACACTCATTCAGTGCACTTTGGAGACATTGTTGCGGTTCTTGAATTGGATTCCTTTGGGCTATATCTTCGAGACGGGTCTCATCAATGCTCTCATCTATAAGGTATGGATTACGCGGTGCTGTCAGTCGTGGCAATGGATCTAATGGTGATTGTGTTGCAGTTTCTGATTGTGCCGCAGTTCCGGAACGTGACCCTCAAGTGTCTGACAGAGATCGCGGGCGTGAAGGCCATGACATACGACGAGATGTTTGTAATGATGTTCACGTCGACGATGACTCAGTTGGAGCTGATGTTGGCGCCCAACTCCAACATTAAGGACAACTACGCCAACGGACAGGACGACGAACAGAAACTCATCCAAAACCTGAGTCTCTTTTTGTGCACATTTCTCAAAGAGCACTCACAGCTCCTGGAGACTGAGGCGTCCCTTCAAACCGTATTATTGGGTGCTCTCCACTACTTACTGCTCATCTCAGAGGTCGATGAGGTGGAGATCTTCAAGATATGTCTGGAATACTGGGGCGCATTGGCCACAGAGCTGTACCGCGAGTCGCCACTAATGAGACCCCATTCGGTGTATCGCGAGACCCCCTTCTCGATGCCTCCGCGACGAAAGCTATACCAACCGGTGCTCACGAAAATCAGATACATTATGATCGGACGCATGGCTAAGCCCGAGGAGGTGTTGGTGGTGGAGAATGAGCAAGGTGAAGTGGTCAGGGAGTTTATGAAGGACACCGACTCCATTCAGCTCTACAAGAATATGAGGGAAACACTGGTCTACTTGACTCACTTGGACTGCGCCGACACCGAGAGGATTATGACGGAGAAGCTGCACAACCAGGTGAACGGGACAGAGTGGTCGTGGAGGAACCTGAACACTCTCTGTTGGGCCATCGGATCCATCAGTGGCGCCATGAGTGAAGAGGACGAACGCAGATTTCTAGTCACTGTTATTAAGGATCTGTTGGGTTTGTGCGAACAGAAGAGGGGCAAAGACAACAAAGCCATCATCGCCTCCAACATCATGTATGTCGTCGGACAGTACCCGCGCTTTCTCAGAGCCCACTGGAAGTTCTTGAAGACTGTCGTCAATAAGTTATTTGAGTTTATGCACGGTATGGATGCAGACATCACTGCAACCGTGGTCAACACAGTCTTATTGTCTGTCTTATTATCTCTATAGAAACCCATGAAGGCGTTCAGGACATGGCGTGCGATACGTTCATTAAGATCGCACAGAAGTGTCGGCGCCATTTCGTTCAGGTCCAGGTCGGGGAAGTGATGCCTTTCATCGAGGAGATCCTCACTAACATTAATACTATTATATGTGATCTTCAGCCGCAACAGGTTTGTCTCTCTCTGCACAGAAGTGTCGGCGCCATTTCGTTCAGGTCCAGGTCGGGGAAGTGATGCCTTTCATCGAGGAGATCCTCACTAACATTAATACTATTATATGTGATCTTCAGCCGCAACAGGTTTGTCTCTCTCTCTCTCTCTCTCTCTCTCTCTCTCTCTCTGCTGTAAAACCTATTGCAATGCATTTTGTCTATTCCTGACCCAAAGGTTCACACATTCTATGAAGCTGTCGGACATATGATCAGCGCTCAGACGGACCAATCGGTTCAGGAGCATCTGATTGAGAAATACATGTTTTTACCGAATCAGGTCTGGGATGACATAATAAATCAGGCGACGAAGAATGTGGATGTCCTCAAAGATCCCGACGCTGTCAAACAGTTGGGCAATATATTGAAGACCAATGTTCGGGCGTGTAAGGCGTTGGGTCACCCATATATGGCTCAATTGGGACGCATATACCTGGATATGTTGAATGTCTACAAAGTGATGAGTGAGAACATCAGTGCCGCCATTGCTCTCAATGGAGAAGTGGTGACAAAACAGCCCCTCATTAGGTCTATGCGGACCGTCAAGAAAGAGACTTTAAAATTGATCACCGGTTGGGTCTCCCGATCCACTGATCCACAGCTAGTGTTGGATAACTTCATCCCTCCATTACTGGATGCGGTTCTATTGGATTATCAAAGATGTTCTGTGCCTTCAGCTCGAGAGCCGGAAGTGCTCTCAACTATGGCTACAATTGTCAGCAAATTAGAGGTGAATATTGAGTCTATTGTGAACTCGTGTCCAATACTTTCTAAGCATTGATTATATGAATGATTTGTCCCCAGAATCACATCACTTCCGAAATACCAAAAATATTTGACGCCGTCTTTGAGTGCACTCTAGAGATGATAAACAAAGACTTCCAGGAGTTCCCGGAGCACAGGACCAACTTCTTCCTGCTGCTGCAGCAGGTGGTGACGCACTGCTTCCAGGCCCTCCTCAACATCCCTCCCACGCAATTCAAGTTAGTGTTGGACTCAATCATATGGGCGTTCAAACACACGATGCGAAACGTGGCCGACACCGGACTCTCCATTCTCTTCAAACTGCTGGAGAACATCGGCAGTGAGGAGACTGTGATGCAGAGCTTCTACCAGACCTACTATACAGACATTGTTCAGCACATGTTCTCTGTGGTGACGGACACGTCGCACACGGCAGGCCTCCTGATGCAGGCCAACATCCTGGCCTATATGTTCTACATCATTGAGACCAACAAACTCACCACTCCATTGAACCCCACCCTCCAGACCACCGGCCAAACCAACGTCCAGTACATCCAGGAGTTTGTGGCCAATCTGCTGAAGACAGCCTTCCCTCACTTGACTGAAGCGCAGATTAAGATCACAGTCCAGGGCTTCTTCAATCTGGACCAAGACGTGCCGGCTTTCAAAGAGCACTTACGAGACTTTCTCGTCCAGATCAGGGTATGTCTCCATTCACACACCTGTCCATCCATTCACTCACTCATTGTTTGCTTATATCAGGAGTTCGCGGGCGAAGACAACAACGATCTCTTTCTGGAGGAAAGGGAGGCGTCGTTGAGGCAGAAGGAAGACGAGAAGCGTCGCATCCAACTGTCTGTTCCCGGAATCATAAATCCTCACGAAATGCCTGAAGAGATGGCAGACGACGACAACTGATGATCACTTAATGACAACAATCTCTCAAAAGAATTGAATTATTTTATTGCTTTAGTATTAGATTTAAATAAGAATTTCATAACTAATTGAAAGAAATCTATGATTTTATAACAAATTAGAGAAAGTGAACCAAAATTTAGTGATTCCTAAGAATATTATATTTGTTAAGAAATGACAAAATTTGGGAAATTTTTTAGAGAGACTTCTAATCAGCCGAAGCACTGGTGGACTAAATTGACTCTCAAAGAGTCGCCATTGAAAGCAAGTGTTTATATATTAGTATAATATTTATGATATGAGTGTTAGTTATAAACAAATTGAATGAATGGATGTGTGATTACTGTATGAATGTGTCTATTATTGTCTCAATTATTGTAATTTTATGTAAATCTGAAGATCCGCTCATTTTTCCATAAATTCATATTCACTTCAATTCTTATATGATTTTGAATTCAATTATCGATGAATACAGAAATTATTGATTAAAAAAAGTTGTGATAAAAGCTATTATTTCTTTATATAATATATTATCAAATATATATTTGTTGCCATTATTCCTATTCTCTCTATTTATAGCAATTCTAACCAAATATAGTCCCAATTATTACAAATAAATAACACTAACACTAAAGTGAATCCCAAATATACCCAACGATTGCAAAACAAATTCATGTATTATTTTCTCGCAATTTCTTCCTTTTTATCCCTAATTTTCATATTATCTCTAAAATTACGAAAATATATTGTATTTGATTCGAAAGATTGTCAACAATTTAGAAGTTTTTTCACATTTCATGAAATAAATAAAAATCAATTTTCTTAATTAAGTCAATGCAACCGCCGTTCACTGCAAACCCACTCCCCCTCCCCTCCCCTCCCGGTGCCCACTCACACAACTCAACGTTTACTGTATGTATGTATTAATAATTGCTTCAAAATTTGCAACTTTTGACGAAAAGTTCAAAAGAGTTGAGTAAATGCTCAACAAGTTTGCAGTGAAAGCAGTGTTTTTCGTGAAACAATCGGTTCATTAGTATTGAGTGAACGATAGGGTGAGAGACAACTGGAAGAATGGGTGACCAGACGGCCAAAGACAGGGAACTCCAGTATTTGCAGTGCGAGCACCAACTCATCGATTTTATTATCAGCAAAATAGATCAGCAGAAGAATCGACTCCTTATCGAACAGTTAAGGCTTCAGCGGTTGGCCAACGAGAACAAGAGGGTCCTCCAAACCATTCACCATAACGTGGACATCAGTCAGCAGCAGATTTGTCGCCAATCAGATCCGGTGGTGTCACAGATGAAGGAATCGCAACAATTGGATTTGACGCCAATTCTCAAATGGGAGGGCAGTGGACAGCAAGTGGACCAAGACATCGAAGAATATGACTCCGATTAAGGCATTATCAATGAAATGATCACTTCTTTGGTCACATTCACATCAAAGCCATTCATTCATTCAATTGATATTTGCATCAAATTTTATAGTTTTATAAACACTTCATCGAAGAATATGACTCCGATTAAGGCATTATCAATGAAATGATCACTTCTTTGGTCACATTCACATCAAAGCCATTCATTCATTCAATTGATATTTGCATCAAATTTTATAGTTTTATAAACACTATCTGTATTCAAATTGATCTTAATTTTGCAATCATTTCACTATTACTGTATTAACCCAACCATTAGAGTATCTCTCCCGCTCTCTCTCTCTCCCTCCCTCTCTCTCTCTCTCCCTCTCTCTCCCTCTCTCTCTCTCTCTCTCCCCTACTGTATAAGAATATAATTAATTGTTTGTACGATTTAATACCTTTATTTGAACCAATAAATGGTAAATTTATTAAATATTGTGTAAACTTTTATTTATTAAATCATATTCAGTTGCAATTCTGTGAAACACAATATAATTTGCAATTTCGTGAACTTATATCACAATTATATTAAAAACAATAAATTAATCTAGAAACCAGTATAAAATCTTATAATTTGACAATTACTAAAAATTATAAAATAGGAAACTATAAAACAATCTTTGGATAACTTATATAACATCGATTGATAACAGATTTTTACATTGAGTGCAAAATTAAGCCTTTTTAAGGAATTTATTGGATTTGCTTTAAATAATTTTGCTTGTTAGTCTTATAGTTTTGGTTATTCTAATGGCACTTATACTCTAATTTCACTTAAAGAATCGCTAAGTTAAGGCTTATATTAAATTTAATATCAAATACTGTATAACTATTATATTTGGTATTTTGTTATATTTAAGTGTAGTGTCGGTTGAATAAATTTGTTTAAATAAAAAAGTATTTGTTTCATAGCTAATCAAGTACAATAGAAAAATGTGATCACTTAATAAACTTTAACATAAGATAACAAATTTCAGATTTCTGTAAACATAGTCACTCTTTCAATGTTAAGAAACCTGAAGACTACAGGAGACAAGTAAGTGATGGTGAGACCCATTGCCATATATGTGATCACTTTACACGGAACCTCTACTGAGACTCTGATTTTATTCTTAGGATCTCTTGGGTCGAGATTTCGGATATAACACAACAGAGAGAACACCAATACTTTACCGATGGCTCGCGCGGCCACTGGTTGTCAAACAAATGATATGTTAATTAGTAAATCATTTAATCCAATGAATCTTTAAGTCATTACCGATACATAATATGCCAATCGATAGGCGCAAAACAGACAGTCCTATGACACCATATCCGGGCCATAATATAGGGAATGGAGGGGGAAGTGCGGGGCCTTTATATATGCCTAATTGGAAGTTAAGCCACGAGCCCAACAAAATACCAGATCCGGCGCCCATTATAATACATGTGTCCCCTCTGGCTGGAGACCATCTGTCAGACTTGGGGTAAATGGTGGCTAAGAATACAATCAGAGGTATTGTAATGAATGGCGAATAAGGACTCGTCAGATGGAACTGATCGATGGCATCAACCAATGGAATGATTATTATCATGAGAAGTGCTGTCAATAGCAGACCCGCTATTATGTCCTAAAATAGAGTTTACATTAAGCTCTTCATACAGTAAATGAAGACTTGTTTAAAACATACAATAATTGAATGCATTCCTAAATACAGACGACTCCCACAAACCAATACACACCAGAAGATTGCGAATATAATCCCAATCCATAAAGAATACTAAAATATAAGAATAGACAGCATTTAGACAATTGAAAGGACATTGCGGTCGTGTTTGACGTCTACTTCATATCTGTTTAACGTAAATATGATGAGACAGAAGGGAAGTGCGGACCCAACCATAGCGTGAGTGGAAGGCATGCCGTACTCGACGGCATACTCGGGCTCCAGTACTACGACGGGTGGTGACTGAGGTCGGGGCCATTTGACGACATCCTTGAGTGCCTGTCCGATGTACATAACGATGACCCACACGAGGACCAGACGCCGGCCCACAGCGCTGTCTATATTCCAGAACCAAATGGGGAAAAAACTGGCGTAAAAGGTCTCGTATCCAAGACTCGCACCAAAACTGAACAAATAGTACCAAAACTTATTGTCGATCACATACGACATACTCTTCCCATAACTCTCATCTTCGGAGGTATTGTCGGTGGCAGACGTGCTGTACACAGAACTCGAGCTCAACTCCCGGCGATGTCTTTGTGTACATGTCTTGTCTTCGGTATCACTTAAATCAGTGGTCGAACCGTTCAAGAGGTTCGTTGAGTTTGCGGTCAATTGTCTTGAGTTTGAGTTATCATTACTAACCACTCGAACACCGAAATAGTTTTGAAACTTTGAGACCAGATTCGGGTCTTTGAGTGACAGTATATACGACCAGATAATTGTCGACAACGTCTTGCTGTCCGTCAGCTTAGTGTCCATGTCTTTGGCCGACATTTGCATCAATTATTTGTAACCAATTAATAAATGAACGATTGTTTGCATTGAATTGAATGCAAACTCATAAATATCACAGTTTTTGGATTCAATTGTAAAACAAATAAATAATTGATAAGAAAATGAATCAATCGTTTAGTTGTGCTTATGATTAGTGAGACAATTGAGTGAATGCTTTGAAATACACGTAAATTGTTTGAATTGATGTAATGTTGCACTTAATTAGTGCTATTTATGGGATGAAAGTATTAACAGTAAAAGGATTACACTATCAGTCCATCAATGAATGAATCACTGAATCAATCGTTTGTTTGGATATGACTGCAAGACTCAACCCTCAATGCATTCATTGCTTACCAAACGCTCACAACTTATGTGACGACAGAAACGACACATTAATTGTCTGCTTATCTCACATTTCATACAATTTATTAAATGTCATCTCATTTACACTTATCATTATTACGTTATATCGCTTTCATACCAATTCAAACACAAACCTTAATTACAATCAACTCAGCTTTTCGTACAAAGTCAGCAATTGTTTGTTATAATCAATGTTTAGTACAGCGTGTACTGAAAAGTTGTTCACAATTTACACATATCTTGAATTTAATTTATGAATTTTATAACCACAAAAATGAAAGTTAATATTATTTTTTTTAAAGTGTACATATCTTACAATACTTTTTCACACTTTTTTGCATCAAATTGTCCTCATTTTTCACTTTTCTCACTCTTTTTTAGGCCAAAAGTTTAGTCGTATTCCCAAACTTTTTAACACTTTTTCATGAATTTATAATGAATTCAAGTGTTTATGCAGTTATTCATTGCTAATATTTATACAATTTTTCTTTATTTTTATGCTAATTCTGTAAAAGTTGCATAAACTTTAATAAAATATACAAGACCATGGTCATTTCATATGATACAGTATTAGAAGGAACAGACAGGGGTTGGGAGGGAAGGGGTTATGAATGCCCTCTAATGAGCCAACAAATGACTGTTTGGCAAAACACATCAAAAGCACGTGTTTTAGTGTTTACTGCAAACGCTTTCATTGAAAGACACATCAAATTGAGATCAATATATAAATCAGTGGTTTTGTTGTGTAATCATAACTTGATTCATGAAAATGGCACAAGTCTTCAAGTGTGGATCAATTGCGGACATAATCAATGATAAACAAAGTGAAGACAAGTCTCCGAAGACATCGAAGAAAAAGAAGAAATTATTGAATAAATTCAATGAAATAATTGAAGAAAATAACAACAAATTGGTTGAAATCAAGACATTTGTGGCCAAAGATGGAGATGAAGAAGATGTGGAGGAATCTGACGATGAAAGTGAGAGACAGACCAATGAATCAAAGAAACAGAAGACCTTAAGAGAGAGACAACTGAAGAATAACGAGAAGAACGAGAGGACAGTATTTGTGGGAAATTTACCACAAAATATCACAATTAAAGTGAGTGTTTGTATTGATTTGGTTTTGTCTTCACTTATATTTATGATGTCTTTTAATCGACAAGTATTTGAAGAAATTGTTCAAAAATTTCGGTCAAATAGAGAGCATTCGGTTGAGAGGAGCCGTCCCTCAAGAGGAGAAAATACCCAAAAAAGTTGCGGTCATTACGTATGTCTTCGTATGAATTGATTTGATTTAATCATCCATTCATTGAATGATTGATTGGTTTTACAGAAAGAAATTTCACGCCTCGACTGATAATATCAACGCTTATGTTGTCTTTAAATCATCGGATGATGTGATAAAAGCACTTGAATTGTGAGATTAATTGTGGATTAAATTGGATTTAAATTAAATATTGATATGAAATGATAGGAACGGCAGTGAAATAGATGGCCATCACATCCGAGTGGACAGAGCTGTCCATTCGGTGACTCACGACAGCTCGCGGTCTATATTTGTGGGAAACCTTCCATTCGTTGTCCGAGAAGACCAGTTGTACGACACGTTCAAAGAATGTGGTGATATTGAAGCGGTTCGAGTGGTCAGGGATGCCAAGACTGGTGTGGGAAAGGGGTTTGGGTTCATAACATTTAAATCCAAGGATAGTGTGGTTTTGGCGCTCGAGAAGAATGAGCACAAACTGAACGGAAGAGACCTTCGAGTGACGAGAGCTAAGAATGAGTCCAATCGATCGAAACCAAAGAAAGAGAGACAGAACCGGAAGGCAAGTGATGGCCATTCAGAGGAAACTGTTCCCCAGAAGGAGAGACAATTCAAGAAGAATAAGAAGTCGAATCTAAAGCCACAATTTGAGGGCATTTTAGCCAAAAAAAGCAAACGAAAGGTAAGTAAGAAGAAGGAAATGAATTCAATTCATCTGAAAAAGAAACAGAAGAAGTTGTCGCAAATATTTTCGCATTAGTTTTGTAGTTATTTTATTTTTATTTCTCATTGTATTTGGTTATAAATTATTGTTTATAAAAATTATTTTAATTGCACACAAGAAAACATTAATTTCACTATAAATTGCAAACGTTTGTGAATCAAGTAATTGAATAATAAATATCAATAAACCATTTACGGTATATTAAAGTAATAAAAATTTCAGTACAAATTCAAACATTAGAATAAAGTGTTGCCCGAAACTGACCGAACAATTGCTATGAAAAATAACAGATTTAAAGATGACCTACTTCCTTTTTAATTCCAATACATCGGACAGTTCTGACAATTACTTTATATTGTTTAGCAAA